TATATATATATATAATATAATTTTAAATATTATTTAATACACACAATTATTTATTTATTAATGAATTCATTCATTTATAATTTTGTATTATTAATTTCCGTGACTTTTCCAGATATAGAAATAATTAATTTTATAAGATGAATAAATAATTTTAAACCATCTTGTGGCCCCCTTGAAAGTGTGTTGGGGCCTCCTAGTTGAACAACATGAAATTATTTTAGTTGCAAATGAAATGATTCTGCTCTCTCCAATATTTACTACATTTACATTATTCTGCATTAACAACAGTGAAAGTAATGGAGATGGAAATCTTGATCTTGTGACTTACAAGGAGGAATGAGTGGTTGGGCTGATGCTGGCTGAGTAACATCGGTCAACAGTGACTCACTTCTAGAAGTTTCTGCCAGGTTCTGGGACAGCTGTGTGGACTTCAGTGGGCAAATGGACATCTTGGGCTGGGGGGACACCAGCGTCTGGCCTTGAAGAGAAGGCTTGATCTGGACGTTCTGGGGAGTAGCAAGAGCTCCACGAAGATGCGTGCGGAGAGCCAGACTTTGAACCTTGCAGAGGACAAAACATACTCAATGAATGTGGAGCATCATTAATCATTTTATTGCAACATACTGGGTAATTCTTTGTGTGTCCATGACTTAGTACTGATTTTATAAACAGGATACATGATGAAGATTGTCATAAATCATAAAGATTTAACTCTGTTTAGTTAAATGTTGTTAAATTATTATTGCAAAAAAAAATCAGCCAATTTGCATTCCCCCATTATTACATGACATTTTATTTATAAAGTGCTTAATGCTTATTTATTTTTATATAAGAAAATATATAAATGACTGGATTAAATTAATTCATTTAAATTGCAACAACAATTTAAATAAAATAACTCTGAAGTGGGGAAAATATGATTTAATCTTTATTCATTATACATCAGTAACCTTATCAAATAAACAATTAAATTGTATTATCATATATTATATTATTATATATTACATAAATAAATGCATATATAAATTTGACACAAATGGCACCATTTCTTGAGAATGTCCCATAAATTGACTAAAAAAAAACCTCTGTCTTACCTGTGATGATGCTGATTGAGAGGACACTGAACTTACAACCGTCAGATCAGGTTGAACAGCAGCTACAGTGGCAGCAGGAGTAAGAATCAGCTACAGGTTAAGAGACAATGACACGACAATAAGAAGAAAGAAGACAAAACAGAATCAGGTCAAGTCAGTGGAGACTTCAGAACACCGATGAACTCTTCTCAAAGAATATGATGCTTTTAGTAAATATCTGCTTACCATCTGAGTGCGCAGATACATTTGGGCCTGGCTACCTGTGGGAGAGCTGTTTCCTAGAAGCATGGCCTGCTGGGATATGGCTCCCGCTGTGCTATTGGAGCTAGTGACCTGGATGCGACCTATTGGCTGAGTTACAGGAGAGGTTGGCATGGTGATCTAGAGGGTGAGAGGTGTTTTCCTGTGTAATTCATCTTTGATCAAATCTTAAAGAAAGAAAAATGAAAATTCAGTCATCATTTATTCAAGTCATTCTAAACCTGTATGAGTTTATTTCTTCTGTTGAGTACAAAAAATATATATTTCAAGAATATTAATGACCAAACAGTTGATGGTAGTCATTGACTCCCACAATATGGAAAAAAAAAATACTATGGAAGTCAATGGTTTCCGTCAACTGTTTGGTGACCAACATTTTCCAAAATATCTTTTTTTGAGTTCAACAGTAGAAAGGAACTCACACATTTTGGAACAGTAAATGATGACAGAATTTTACTATCCCTTTAAATGTTTGGATAAAGCCTGAACCTATTTGCTAATTTACAAAGTACAGATTTATTTTATATTTATAAAAGGCCTTTTCCCAAATCAAATTACGATACACTTTTTATGGGGCACTTTTTTCCAACATAATGTCCAAATGAGAGCACATAGTCCATCTACGTGAAACAAAAGTGGGTTTGTGACAAAAGTGTATAAAGAAGGAAACACTTACTGATGTTTGAGACACACTAGCCAGCTGAGTTACATTCCCATTGGATGATGGAGGGGAGGAGGTGAGCTGCCTGCCATTAGTCTGCGTGGCCTGATAAGAAGTAGCATTATATTACATGATGTTATTATATTATATTATTATTTAGGGCTGCCAAATTATTAATCACGATTAATCACATCCAAAATAAAAGTTTGTGTTTACATAATATATGTGTGTGTTACATGCAATTTATATTATAAATATAAATATTTTACATATAAATATAACTTATTTTTCTTAAATATACACTTAAATATATGCATGTGTGTGTATTTATATATCCACCTTATTCTTCAACGCGGAAGTAAGCCTATAGGCGAGACTTCCGGTTCATTAGCCGCTATAGGGAAATAACGAGAATAATAATAATGTGCAGTAAACAGTAAAACTGTTTGCACTACAAACCAGTGTGTTCATAATTAAGATAATACATGAAAATAATATGGTAAGATTACTTACACACTAACTTTTATTTTGGACACGATTAATCGTTTGATATCCCTAATTGTATTACATTACATTACATTTGATTATTTTATATTGCACATATTTTCATATGTATTCTCATACCTGCTCTGTAGTGGTCAGGATTTGTGTAGCCGTGAGGTTCTGTTGATGCTGCTGTTGTAGTGCAGCCGTCTGCAGCAGGATATGCTGTTGTTGGGCAGCATACATCTGTTGTAGGTACTGAGCTGTCATGCTCTGTGGTCTGTGTAGCGTCTGCTGGATTACCTAGCCAAACACCACATCATAGGCTTCACATGCCACTGGAAGTGATCAACTTTTTGCCAATGTTTTTTACTCAAAACCACAACAAAGACATGGCATCTGAATATTAGGTCAGCCTCAAAGCAATGTTCAGAATTTGGCTACAGTGCATTAAAAGGCTGTTGCTATTTGTTAAATAAAACAAGATACATTAACACTGTGTAATATCATTTGTTTAATATGTTACTGGTTGATACCGGTGGGGAATTACCTGGACCGCCTGCCTGTCTGAAGTGATGTTTCCCAGAGGAATGCCGTTGGGCTGAGTGCCTGTGGGACTGTTGGATCTGGGTGTAGAGCTCACTGGTGTGGCACTGGTGGTGGGTGCAGTGCTGCTGGAGGCTGTTGTCACACAGCCATCATCCTCCATCTCTTCCTGACTCTGTTTATCTGTGTCGCCCATCAGAGTGGTTTGTTAGCCACGGTTAGCCACTATAATTTTGGACAAATATTTAAAATTAAAATTAAATTTTTTTTTTTTAAATTAGAGAATATTCTGTATTCTGTAATCCACTTCTGTTCAACTGCAGGATTTGCTGGTTATTGGTTGATTTAGCTGACTGAGTTTGATTTAATTAGAATTAGAATTTGATTTGGAAGTTGACTTAATTAGATTTTTTTTTACAACATATATATTGGCATATTTGAGAACAATGAAACAATTTATCCTATGTTACCTTTTTAGCCTATTACTAAAGGTAAATATTTACATATTATATTTTATAATATATACATATTATATTATATTATATATTTGTAGAAATTAGTTCAGACAGTTACAGTTACCAAATAGAAACTAACTTTAGCATTTTAAATATTTGATTAAATGCTCTAAAATTTGCATAAATATACTAGGGTAAAACGGTTTTTAATTATATAATGAAATGCACTTAAGTTTATATAGACAGTACGTAGATTATCAGTCATTCAGATTAAAAAAACAATAACATGTAGCCTATGCTGTATGTAATAAGTATGAATGTATGAATTATGTATGAATGTATGACAAATGTATGAATTAATGTGAATTCTGAGTGTGATATGTTTTTACTTTAATTAGGTCCATCCCATATCATAACCTGAGATCAAATGTTAACCCATATCAATCAGGACCACTGAAAGCAGGTCATTCACAAATGCATTCACAAATGCTACAGTATTGCTCAAAGGGTCCCCAATACAAACAAACATAAACATAACACCAACAAATATTCTGGAAAGTAATGTGATTAGCACACTACAATATTAGTGCTTCAACATATATGGCCTTTCAGAATCACATTTGACATTACCTTGAAAATTCACAAGTTTACAAAATTCCCAATTCATAAAATATAATTAAAAAGTACCTATAATTAAAATAAATTGTATAATTAAAATGTACAGTTTAACTTACAAACAGATGTAATAATTATTTATACAACTTCATAAATTCATTTTTTTTCATTTGATTGAATTATTGCAAATTTTTATTTAATATATGATACGTTTACAATATCAGTTTAATTGATAAAACTGTTATGAAAAATAGCATAGGGTATTTGCAGTTTTACATCTTGCATTTAATAAAATTTAAAAGCAATGAATTATAGAATGTATATTTTAATTTAAACCTGACGTTTCAAATTCAGCATATTAATTGGCCGATTTCTGTGCGCAAATGTCGCTTATTTTCTGGACCTGCACTTTTACGGGTTTTAGTAGCCTATTAAAACTGTTTAATTCATTTTCTATGTCGAATTACAGTATTTGTACAGTACACTCTATATCATACTGTTACAATATTTTCGGGGAAAATTACTAATTATAATAAATGAAAATATCGAAACAGTGAATTGGTTTATGCATATTGTGCAACCACGCGCTCTGTTTTGCCACAAACGTTCGATCTTTAAAAATGAGTGATTTTTTTTATAGTGTTTAATATTAGTTTATGCTATACTGTATTTTTTTTATCCAGACAAACTATCCATAATATATGACCTAGCCGATAAAGAATATCTATTTAGTAATTCTAAACTTTTTCCATCCCTAAAGGTCATTCAGTAAAATGTTTAAATCTCCTTATGGACTACTATAAATCAGTAAAATAAATTCTTTACAGTGTAGCCTATTGACGAAGCAGATCAACGGCAAATTTTAAATGGGCTAAAGAAAATATAAAAAGCCTATATATTTGCATTTACCAAACTTAAAAACCAGACCTCTCTCGCCTCTCGGTATCTCGGTGTCGTGAACTTATTACAGTCGATTGTAAATTGAATGTGTATAATCCGTTTAAAGGCAAAGGTAAGCTTTAAAGAAATTATTTGATAATGTTATAAGATAGGCTATAGCCTTAAATATTTAAATATAGCTAATCTTAGGCTTTTGTTGAAAAAAAAATCAATAAAATCTGTTTTCTACTTAGGCTACATAATGAGACATTCAAAGAATTTGACTCAATTTGAACTCGCGTGTTATGGATAATTAAATCAACTAAACATTTTTACATAAGGATACACGGCATTTTAAATTTAGGCAACCACCTAATTATTACAATAATTAGAAATAGCCTACTTATAAAAGACTGGTGTCGCTTACGAAGTGCGTTGTAGAATATTTCGACAGGCCGAATGTCTGCCTCAGTCATCTGTCTACTCTAGTCCGAACTCCTTCTAACTTTCCAGTCGAGCCCACCATGACATTCTTATTGTGGGACACTGAGATTTGTTTTAACAAACGAGTTGACGTGAATCAGAAAATCAATTGAAATTGAAAAATCAATTTTGAAATATATATTTTTTTATTAAGACTTTATGTCTCCATCATTGGGGAATCATGCGATCATGAGGCTTTAGTTTTCTCCCATGCAATGTTGAAGGCGCATCAGCTGATGAGTGTTACCTGCCTGATATGGATATGAGACTGCTGTGCTCTGTCAAGGCCTCAAGCTCAGTCATGTTGTACTGCGACAGCGCGCTCGAAAATGGAGATAAAAACAAAACGCTCCTGAGGCTGAGAAATTTCTGAGCCAGCAGCACCACTTGCTGTGTAGGAGGACTTCGTGCAGCGTTGCTCTCCACATTAATTTTCACCACTGCCCCTCTTTTGCTATCAGGGCCTTATAAAGACCCTAATTGTGTTGCATTTTTAGTTGTATTTTTTATTCAGTCGTTAAAAACTGCTAATTGTAGTTACATGTATTGAAATAGTTTGACGTCTACAGGATTTTAGGCTACTTGTTAATCTATAGCCTATGTCTTCTATTTGTCTTTATCCAGAATGTAGAAAACACACACATCTTAAATCGTGAATTCATAACACTCATGAACATGCAGAATCTGAACTTCAGCTTCAAATGCCAGTGTTAAAGTCAGTGTTATTTTGAGAGCTATGCATTGCAAATATTTTGGTGAATGTTCTTTAAACTTACGAAAAATTATTCATGATGGCTGTTTGTGTAATTTCCAAAACCTAATTTGCATTAGTAAACATTTTGAAACATTATTAAAAGGTCATTAATGTTGTTTATGTATGATTTCTGATGATTTTCTATACATTGTGTTCGACAGGCTATCATTAACTTACTGTGAACTACAGCCATATAGGCTACTTAAATTTCATCAGTTACAATAAATAAATGAGCCATTAACTTTTGATAAATGGGATGATTTATGAAATATCTACACTAAAAAAAAATCCTTAACATTTACGGTAAAAAAACGGCAGCTGTGGTTGCCGGAAATTTACCGTAAAAAATACGGTAGCAACATTTTAGGTTTTACGGTTATACCTTAAATTTACAGTTAAGTACCGTAATTTCATTAACTGATATAATGTTAATATACCAACCTATTGAAGTACTGAAGTCTGTTTTGTACCTTTGTAATACACTGATAACCACCAAATGCAGGTGGTGATGAGAAAGTCACATGATGAACCAAAGCCCATCACAAGCAGCTTTTAAATAATAACATGTATAGAAGGTGCACAGTGTCATTCACACAAACACTAAACACCATCAATTTTTCACTTCCAAAAATGGTATACTACCGTAAAATTCATGTCCAATACATGTAATGTCCAATACAGTTTTTCACCGTATATAGTAGGGGAATTTACCGTTAACCATTTAACAGGTTTTTACTGTAGCATTTTTAGTCTTTTACCATTAAATTCACGGTCATTTTTTACAGTGTATGTAATAAGCATGTAATAAGGATGATGTTGCCTATAGCTTCAAAGTGCATATTTTTGTAACGGTACACTTTTTTTTTTTTTTGTAAGAAATTTAAGAGGAAGAAAGCAACAGTCTGTGATTTCCATCCCCAAATATTTCAGATTGATTGATTGATTGATTGATTGTACCATGCATAGGCCTATATGTTTAGTGGTGGATTTTAAATGTTTTAATTTTGTAAGTAATGAACTTAAACATATGAAGTTTCATTAGGAGTGCATCCGTTTCATTTGCACATCAATTTCAATCTGCATAAAAAAATATGCAAAGGCATAAAAACGTATTAAAATAGGATGCTTTTAAAACCTCTAAGCTTATACGATTTGAAAATATTGCCAAAATGACATGGTTCAATGAGTACACTGTTTACAGCGCACAGACTCTTGTATCAAGAGGGAATCTGGTATCGTGACACTGTAACGACAGTAGTTTCGCCACTAGGAGGCGTCCATGGATTATAAAGGTGTGTCATAAAACGATTCTTGTATCACGCAAGAAAGATAATCCATTACCTTTATAGTTGGTTATTTTAGTGAATCAAAAACATACCGAACAAATGACTACATGAGCAGGTTCTTTTTATTCAACCAGTCGGAACAGTTAGCCTACTGAATTAATTTGACTTAATAATGAACAAGTTAGGCTATGACTTCTTCATGTCTGACTCGGTTACTGCTTTATGCTGTACAGTACAGTTGAAAGGACTGCACATATTCAGCATCTCAAAAGTCATTTAAAAGTACTTTCAATAATTGTATTTTTCTGATTTGTTATCCGTTCTAACATCTTTGAATTAAATTATTTCAAATATTTCTTCTTCAGAACTAGTAGAACTCGTAAGGAAATCGTAAGGATGCAAAAATGCGAACTTCTTATGTTGGTAAAATGTGTTTTTTTATTAAATCCCAAGAGTAGCAATAGAGCTATTCGTAACCTTTTCCAAGGAGAAATTATGACTGTGCCTTATGTTTTGTCTCATTGGATCTCTTTATTAAATGGAAAATTGATTTGCAGGAGAAATGTGTGCATGGTTGTTACCGCAGAAATATCATCTTAGAAATAAGATTTAAAAAGTTTCTTATAAGCTCATTCACAGATTTTATCCAGCAAATCATTATTTACAAAATTAAAAAAAAAGGCGTAAATGTAAATTGTATTTTTTGTAATAAATATGAAGAAACTGCCTTGCACTTATTTTGGCACTGTTCATACTCAGTTACACTGTGGTGTAAGGTTCAGAAATGTATTAATGAAAATATTCAGTGTTTAAGACCTTTTTCACTCTTATGGGAAAATGTACTCTTTGAGTTTACTGACTATTCTGACCAAGAGGAACAGTACTTTTACTTGATTAATTTACTTATAGCCTACTGTTGACCAAATTTCACATTCATAAGAATCAGAATCAGAATGAGCTTTATTGCCAGGTATGTTTACACATGAGGAATTTGTTTTAGTGACAGAAGCTCCACAGTGCAACAGAATGACAGTGACAAGACAGGACACGGATAATAAAAAGAATAATATACAAATAGACAAAATAGACAATGTACAAAATAGCAAAAACACAATATATAATATAGACAATTATGTATGTACAGGTATGATATGTGCAAATTTGAAATGTAAATAAGTATGTGTGTTAAACAAATAATGTATAATAGTGTTGTGTGTTCCACGTTTATTGTTAAGTGTTCATGAGATGGATGGCCCGAGGAAAGAAACTGTTCCTGTGTCTGGCCGTTCTGGTGCTCAGAGCTCTGTAGCGTCGACCAGACGGCAACAGTTCAAAGAGGGAGTGTGCTGGATGTGAGGGGTCCAGAGTGATTTTGCCAGCCCTTTTGCTCACTCTGGATGAGTACAGTTCTTGAAGAGAAGGGAGGGTTGTACCAATGATTCGCTCAGCAGTCCGGACTACCCTCTGTAGTCTTCCGAGGTCAGATTTGGTAGCTGAGCTGAACCAGACAGTTATTGAAGTTCAGAGGACTGATTCAATAACGGCAGAGTAGAACTGTTTCAGCCGCTCTACTCTGCTAAGTGTAAATTTACCATTAAGAAACACAATTTTATGGTTTTGTTGACTGAAATATGTATATATATTGACAGTATCAGAGACTCTTTAAATAAGAAGGCTGTAAGAAGTTTGAAAGCTTGTGAACTGTGATTTATATTTATATGTATACGTGTGTGTATGTATATCTTTGAAGGCTATATTTTGAACCTGGCAACTCCCCCTGGCAACGTTTATTTGTTGTAATTTGTCTTTCTAATTTGTTCCCCTTTTTTCTTTTGGTTATTGTTTCTGGATAAAATATTGTATGTTAATATTCTTTGAATAAAAAAAAAAGGATGCGATGCGAACTACTTCCTTGGCTGCTCTTCTCCACCCTCTTCGAAGTCTGTGTGGTATAATCGGAATGCTACCGGCCGCTTCCATCCAACCGAATTCAATTGAACATAAATATACGCCATAACATTAATCATATTGCGGACGTTTAATATTTTCACTTTCTCTAAACTGTCTAGACAAATAATTTTCTTGATACCAACAGTAACTAAAAATGTGTAATGTTTTTGTTGGAAATCCTCCTCATCCCCCCTTCCACATTCCGCTGTTTGGATCATTCCGTCTCGAGGCCTGAGCGAGAGAAGGGAGTGTTTCCCGTCAGCCACAGAAGTTTTACTAGTCCTATTAAATTCTGTCAGAACTTGAGTAATAATATTTCAGACAGGCCCATTCTACCACCGGGGTCAACACTATTTTGGACCAAAGAATAAGTCCAGTTTTCTAATTCCGGTTGTTATTTTTTATTCTCCCGTCGGTCGACATCGGGATAGCCTCATTAGCTAAGTTAGCTCACTAGCCGGAGTACGGAGACTTCATAATGCCCACGCTGCGGGACAGCACCATGTCCCACCCCGGAGAAAACCCGCACCAGGTCCGGGTAAAAGCTTATTACAGAGGGTGAGTAGTCAGTGAGCCAGCGCTGTCTTTTTAGATGTTTCGATACACTTACTATCTTATCTTGACCTCTTAATTGTGTGGTTTCGGGATATACACAAATAAATGATTAGCCAGCTAGCAGGCAGTGTTAGCAAAGCCCAAAACAAAACTCTATGAAGTTGTCAAGTCAAACCCACTCCAGTAAAACAGCCGTTTCTTAATTTCTTCCTCTTCAGCTGGTTTTCTTTTCGTATCATAATAGTTCACGTAAACATACTAATTATATGTTTGTGAGTTAAGATAATTATGGCTTATGATGCATTGTTTTCAGAGCTGCGCCTGTCATGGAGCTAGCTGTCTGCCTGTTTATTATAACATTTGCGTTCTATTATGTCACATTTAGGTAGGTGGTTCTATATAACAGTGTAATTAAGGGGAAACTAAAGTCACAGGTACCTGTATTGAAATTCATTAAATGATATATGCAAACAGTTTGTTCGTGTTATGAACACAATATGTAAGTTAGATCATCATATTATTTGTCTAAAATTATACCAGGTTTTTCTAAACGAGTACATCAGGGAATTGTTATCAGAATGGGACGTAACGACCTGTAAATTTGTTTCCTGTTCCTCTTACTGTTTAGGGAACAATTCTTGGGTTGCTTTGAAATAACTTTTATGTGCATAAAGGAGCACATTTATGTATAACTGATTTTCAATCAGATTTCCTTTCATGATGACGTGTGCGCTTAACATGCGCTTGAAAAACTTGTATGACAAGTATC